TCCCTCCGCCTCCTCCTCCGCCTCCTCCTCCTCATAATCATCTTCATCCCCATCTCATCATCATGGTCATCTTGGTCCTCAACATCACCGCCACCACCACCACCATCATCCTCGTCATTCTCACCGTCCTTGTCGTCACCATCGTTACCCGCAACATCAGATGCACCATCATCACCAGCAGCTGCGTAGGTATCATCATCACGATCATCAACCGTTAGAGCAATTACAGACATAGTCTTGCTCAACGGCGTGATCGTCTAATGCAATCAAAACGTCACAACCATCGTGCTCATAATGCTCATCATCATCAGGAGCATCAGCATGACCCTCATCACCAGCATCGCCATGCTCATCACCAACATCACCATCACTTCCACCATTATCACAGTCATGGTCGTTGTCGGGTCCGTCGTCGTGGTCGTCATCATGGTCATCATCAACAACATTTGCCTCATCATCATCGATACCATCATAGATATCGGCATCGCAATCAACATGGCCAGCAGTATCACAACCGTTGTCAGACGCTCAGTCACGGGCAGCATCATCAGCATCGATGTTATCACCGCCATCCTCATAATCAGCATCAAATCATCAACATAGTCAGCAGCATCATTTTGAGCATCAGCATCAGCATCATCATGAGCATCAGCATCAGCGCCAGCAACAGCATCAGCATCAACATTATCATCTGCATCATCATCAGCAGTACCATCATCAGCACCACCATCATCATCAGCAGCAGCATCATCAGCATCATCGTCATCAGTATCAAGATCATCAGCATCATCATCATCAGCAGCAGCATCAGAATCAGCCTCCTCGTCGGCACCATCATCATCATCATCATCATCAGCAGCAGCAGCAGCATCAGCATCAGCATCAGCATCGTCGTCGACGCCGTCATCATCATCCCTCCTCTTCATCCCTCCTATTCCTCCTAACTTCTCCTTCTCCCTCCCCCCTCATCCGCCTCCTCCTTCCCTCTTCTCCCACCCTGTATATTCCTTCTCATCCTGATCACAATCCTCCTCGCTTCTCCCTCCTACTCCCCCCCCCTCCCCCTCACTCTCCGTCCAGCTCTGCCCTCCTCCCCCCCCTGCCCCTCCCCCCTCGTCCCTGCGCCCTCTCCTCCCTGCGCGCCGCTCCCCCCAGGCCGTGCCCTCCGTCTTTCACCGCCCTCCGCACGTCGCCTGCAATGGGAAAAAGTAGCCCTCTGCATACAGGCCTGGCGCACACACACACACACACACACACACACACACACACACACACACACGCACACACACACACACACACACCAGGGAATAAGGCCAATCGCAACCACTTCGGGCCGTTCACGAACTCGGGCGTTTGCAAAATCCCTTCGGAAGGTGAAAGGAACCCACTCGTTCCAGAAGCGCTCTTGAGAACCTTCTCTGCTGGATCAAAGCAAGATCCAAGCAGCCCAAAAACATCGAACCACTTCGGCCCGACCGCACCTGGTGGTGATCGGCCCCAAGTGGTCGACGATCGGCCCGAAGTGGTTGCGATGGGCCCCGGTCGCCCCCCCCGCCCCCAAGGCTGGTCGCAGCTGTCTGCCACTCTTGTCTGCCGTGCTGCGATCTGCAGGAACCGCGACTCTGCAGAGCTGTGGCGCCAGGCAGGGCCGATGCTCGTCCTTCGCAAGACTGCCCTCCTCTGACCTGCCATTTGCGGTGCAGCACGGCACCGTTCCCTGCCGCATCTTGCCCGAAGCTGCACCACCACACTTCGCCTAGAGCACGGACTCTTGGGCGGGAATGCGTGCTGCCCGTTCGATCCCGCCTGTCAACCGCAATATATCTCGCGGTGGCTATATCGCCTTCACCTTGCATAGATACACGCGCTCTGTCTGGGCCTAGGAGTTCTGAAATAGTTCTTGCCTGCACAGTGCCAGTATCAAAAGGGTGTGGAAGTGGTTCCAGCCACTACCTCGCAAACAAATGTGCTCCAGCATCTCGATCGTTGACGTCTCAGGGTTCAGGCCCGCATTTGCACGACGGTCAATACTCTACACATACATCAAAATTCTGGACGGGCACGCAGTCTGCAGAGGGACGCAAAGAAATTGTTCCCCGTGTACCCCACACATGTGTAAGGGCGCCGGCAACGCGCTTAATCGGCAACCATGGGGCGCGCGTGCACTCACTCGTGTAACCAGCATCCACCGTTGCAGCACACGTCCCTTCGAGCCCAGGTGTTGCTCGGCTGCACGCGAGAGTGACCCTAGGCAAGAGTGAGTTGTGGTGCGCGGTTTTAGGGGGACTGGGGGAGGGGGAGCCGCTGCTATCCGATAGCATTCAGCTATGAGAACGCCAGCGGGCCCGCACTAAAGGTCACTCCGGCGAAGTGTAAGTAACTCCCACGTGTATTCGAATTGTTTTTTTTCTCTCTCTCTTTCTCTCTCTCTCTCTCTCTATTTCTGTCAGAAGTGTGTTGTGTGTGTGCGCGGTGGTACCTACTTTTCCAGAATACTGCTACAATGTGAAAACGCACAGCACTTGCGCATATGGATGGCGGCGCCGATTCAAAATCTAATCCGCTTACAGTTTACAACGGGAGGGGTCGGAATGGAGCTCGGGCTCGAGCTCGGGGCCTCCCTGCAAGGGTGGAAGGGGTACTTTGTGTTGCGGAGGCCCTCCTCGCTCAGGCGAGGCCTCCCTAGAGTGATGGGGGAGGCGCGAAACCTCGGAGTAAACAGGATGTGTTCCGGATACCCTCCTCGCTCAGACGGTGCAACTGATAGGCGACGGTCTTTCCCGGATAGATCCTTGGACAGCTAAGAGGGTTTCGGATTAAGAAGCCGGAGCCGCAGGGTAGCCCCGGAGATCGTTCCGGCGTCGGTCCAGAATCCCTGGCGCGGGCTGCTTGAACTCGCAGCGTGTTCCGGCTGGCCTTCTTCTAGGTGTTTCCCAAAACGCGTGCCCAGAAGCTCTCCAGAAGGTCTTTCGGAAGCTCTCTCCAAGTCCTTCCACCGTGCTTCGCCAGGCCTTTCTACGCCCTCCGGGCGCTCTGCTATCCGGGTTTTGGACTACACAAGTACTCTCGACCGCCGAGGCGCAACCTATGGCGCAACCGATATGAGACGGTTTTTTTGTTAGCCGCCGAGGGCGCAACCTATGGTGCAACCGATAGAAGACGGTTTTATTCTCGGCCGCCGAGGGCGCAACCTTTGGCGCAACCCATGGCCCAACCTATGGCGCAACCTAGGGTTAGGTCCGATAGCGACTGCAGGCGGTCCACCGCCATATCGCGCGAAGAAACTCAAACTCTAAAACAACATCAAACCTCTAAGCCAAAATATGCGAAAATCGCAAACCTCAAACTTCAAATAAACTCTAAGCCCAAACCTGCGCAAGTCTCAAGTCAAAAAAACAATCACTCTGCCAAAACCTGGGAAACTCTCAAACCTGAGAAAAAAAAAAAAAGCCCAAACCCTGGTTAAATTCCAATTTCAAAAAACTCTAACAAATTTCTAAACCAAAACCAGTAAAAACTCAAGCCTTGACACCAAAACTCTAAAAACAGCTTTAACACGATGAACCGGATCTGAAAACTCAGCGAAAAACTAGAAACGTTTAGAAACTCTCAACAGAACTGGGAAATCAAAAACTCTAAGCGCCTGGGAACTTCTTTAAACAAAAAACTAAACAAATCCCTGGCCGCTTGACAAACTCTAAGAACTCCTCTGGGGAAAAACAAACTCTAAATGCAAACCCGGGCGGCCTCGGAAACTTAAACACATAATGCAATATCTAAAACAATCCGGGCGTTGTTCGTTAAGTGTTCAAACGCGCATATGTTGTTCGATGTCTCTGCTTCAGGTTTTTTTCTGGAATTTCGGTTTCAAGTTTTCGCGTGGGTTCGAGATGCTCCCAAATTTTGGCTTGGAGATGCTTATGGGGTGGTGAGATGTTCCCAGGTTTTGGTTTAGATATTGTTTCAAGTGTTCTGGGGCTTGAGTTTCCTGTTGAACATTTTTCTACGATGTTGGCAGATGTTCTCGATGGACCTCCTGTAGTAGAATTGCCGAACCTAAACCAAGGGCGCAACCTAGAGGAGCGAGGTCATAGGACGAGGTCCTAGATGAGGACGATGAGGAGGAGCTGGAGCAGGAGGAAGACGAGAAAGAAGAGGATGAGGAGGAGGGCGAGGAGGAGGAGGACGACGACGACGATCAGGATGGGGAGGAGGACGGGGAGGAATACGAGTAGTACGAGGAAGATGTGTGGGCATTCGAATGCGTGCGGGGCTACGCCCGATTCATGCTCGCCGTTTGGACTGGCGGTGGGGCACAAACGGCGAGCTGTCTCGTGATTATCATCATCAGTATCATCAGTATGATCAGCATCTTCATCATGAACCTCATCGGCATGATCAGCAGCATCATCATCACCGTCACCATCACCATCACCATCACCATCATCATCGGCATCACCATCACCATCATCTTCCCTCCTCCTCCTCCTCCTCCTCCTCCTCTCCTCCTCCTCCTCCTCCTCCTCTCCTCCTCCCCCTCCCTCCTCGTCCGCGTCCTCCTTCCCTCCCCCTCCCCCCCTCCCTACCACTCCTCCTCCTCCTCCTCCTCCTCCTCCTCCTCCTCCTCCTCCTCCTCCTCCTCCTCCTCCTCCTCCTCCTCCTCCTCCTCCCCTCCTCCTCCTCCTCCCTCCTCCTCCTCCTCCTTCCCCTCCCCCTCCTCCTCCTCCTCCTCCTCCTCCTTCCTCCTCCTCCTCCTCCTCCTCCTCCTCCTCCTCCCCTCCTCCTCCTCCTCCTCCCTCCTCCTCCTCCTCCTCCTCCTCCTCCTCCTCCTCCTCCTCCTCCTCCTCCTCCTCCTCCCCTCCGCCTCGCCGTCGGCGCCGGGCGCCAGCGCCTCCTGCGCGTCCGTGGCCCACAGCCTCAGCAGCCGTGCGCGGTGGAGCGCCTGGGCCCTCTCCTCCGGGCCAGCCTGGTCCGGCCGGCTCAGGGCGCCCACAAGTCCCGACCCTTTCCCCACGGCCTGTGCTGCGGGCAATATTTATATCCATATCCAGTGCGTCTTGGACTTTCTTGGAAGGGGCGCCGCAAGGCCGAGGCGCACTGGATATGGATAAAAATTGAGCCTTTGGGAGGCAGATTATAATCCATATCCAGTGCGCCTCATGTTTCTTGGGAAGAGTGTCCGAAACTCAAAGACGCACTGGATGTGGATAAAGACACTGCCCGCATTTGCCAGGAGTGCCCCTAGCCCAAAGGTGTCCAGGAGCTGAGTTCCAGGGAGGCCCCCACATCCTCCAGGAAACAGCTGCCGTGACCCAGGGGGCCCCGGGGCTCCAACGTGGAGGGGAAGCCAGGGCACCCTTGGGGCCAGGGCTCATTCCCGAAACATGCAGTGTCTTCATGTGCCAGAAATCCGGACCCTTTACATACGGCTGGTTTCTAATCTTGGGCCGTTTTCTGACAGTACTGGGGCCCAGCGAGGGCCCCCCCCCCATGGCCGAAAACGGCCGGAAACCTCCCGTCGTGATTTCGTTCACGACGCGAACATGTCTGGGTTAGGGCCAGGGCCACCTCTCAGGGGCGCTCACGAAGAGGTGGCACGAAAGGGGCAGCCTTCTGAGAAGGCGGAGGGGTGTCTTACAAGGGGTGGCCCTTCTGAGAAGGCTTCCTGGAAACCGGGCCGCCTTCGTCGAAGCCACGAAGCCTTCTCAGAAGCCCACCCGCCTCGCCCCGGCCCCTGTAGGCGCCGCCAAGGGACGGTGAGGAACTTTTGCTTAGCGTGGCACAGCGGCCGCAGCCGCACGCTGCGCTAAGGTCGGGCCTGTCCCCCTACAGGGGGATGCTAGACGAAAAACAAAAACACCCAAAACATATTCCAAAGATACCCAAAAATAGTCAAAACAAATCGTCCCCTGATTATTTGTTGACAATTTTCGAATATTCCTCCTGTAGAGGGACAGGCCCGACTTAACGCAGCGGATAGCGCGTCGCTGCGCTCAGCAGGACCCGAGGTTGGCAAAGGCTCGAGACGCTGACGCTCTGGACCTGGGAGGCGGTCAGCGGGTCGCACAGCCGCGTGCTGGGCCAAAAGCGCGCGACACGCGAAGCAAACCTGCCCGACCGTGGGGGCGGACCGCCTCATGCAGGGAAGCATCGAGCGCCGACAATCGGCAGCGGGTCGCCGACAGATCGTGGGCGGGAGAGGCGATCACAGAGGAAGGAATCACCGGCAGAAACCGAAATGTTCGACGCTCCGAGGGTGTATGGTCCTGCAGTTTTTCTTGGGCGATGTCAGGCCCCCATCGGCGATCAATGGGGAATTGGGGGTCCATGCATCCCCCCTCTGCGCCGACTCCCCCCCCCTTTTGCCCCTGAGGCGGGAGTGGGGGCCTGCAGGGGGGCCCTCTCAGACGGCTGTTCGTGGCTCTCGCCATCTGGAGGCAGTCTTTCCCAGCTCAGGGGCCGTCACAAAGCTCCAGGGACAGACCTGCATAAACATTTTAAAATGCTAAACTCTCGCGGGTTTCTTGGATCTGCCCCCGGGTCCCCTGGCAGCGCCTCTGGCGCCGCCCCTGGCGCGCTCCGCGCGCTAGGGGCGGGGGGGCCAGCGCCGTCCCAAGAGATCCGCAAGCAGCTCCAAAAGATTACGTGTATACCTTCGTTTCTTTTTCGAAGGAAGACTCCTCCTCCCCTCGAAGGCCTCCTCTTTCGTCCTCTTTCTCGAGGAAGGGCGACGAGGAGAGGGAGGAGAATCGTGAGGGAGGAGGAGGACGAGGAGGAGGGAGAAGGCGGAGGCGGAGGCGGAGGAGGAGAAAGAGGAGGAGAAGAAGAAGGGGAGGAGGAGGAGGAGGAGGAGGAGGAGGAGGAGGAGGAGGAGGAAGGAGGAGGAGGATGGAGTGGGGGAGGATGGAGGAAGAGGAGGAGGAGGAGGAGGAGGAGGAGGAGGAGGAGGAGAGGAGGAGGAGGAGAGGAGGAGGAGGAGGAGGAGGAGGAGGAGGAGGAGGGAGGAGGAGAAAGGAGGAGGAGAGGAGGAGGCGGAGGCGGAGGCGAAGGCGGAGGCGGAGGTGGAGGGTGAGGGGGGGAGGAGGAGGAGGAGGAGGAGGAGGAGGAGGAGGAGGAGGAGGAGGAGGAGGAGGACTCCAGGAGGAGGAGAAAGAGGAGGAGGAGGAGGACTCCACGAGGAGGAGGAAGAGGAGGAGGAGGAGGAGGAGGAGGAGGAAGAGGAGGAGGAGGAGGAGGAGGAGGAGGAGGAGGGTGGGTGGCCTTTTTCGTTGTTCTTGACCTCCTGGGGGCTTCTTTTGTCTCCACGGCTGGGCGCGGGCTCTAAAAAACTGGTGCGTTTTTTTCGGACCCCATGGGGGGGGTGTCTGGGGACCGCTTTGGAGCGGATTTGGCTTCGCCCCCCCTCTTGACCAATGCTCTCGGGGCAGGGCTCATTTCGATTCCTCCGATTCGAGTCGATTTCGGTGGCTTCCAATTCCGATTCGATTCGACTCTGCCTCCTGCTCCTCCTGCTCGTCCTCCTGTCATCCTCCTCCTCCGCATCCTCCTCCGTCTCGTCCTCCTCCTCCTCCTCCTCCTCCTCCTCCTCCTCCTCCTCCTCCTCCTTCTCCTCCTCCTCCTCCTCCTCCTCCTCCTTGTCCTGCTCATCCTCGTCGTCCTCCCCCTCCTCCTCCTACTGCTCCTGCGTCCTTTCTTCTTGGGAAAGCCATGAGGGCACACAAACTGGGGGCTTTCATACGGGTCCTCCTCCTCCAACTCCTCACACTCCTGTTCCTCGTCCCCATCGCCTTCTGCGCGAGCTCCGCCTTGTGCGCGAGCTCCTCCTCCACCCAGCGGTCCGCCATCTTCTGACTGTTGGTGAATCCGCCACCGTACCCTTCGAAACATGTCGGGCCGGTACGAAACCAAAAGGGCGACTAGGAAAAAAGGTGTTATGCATCTTTCTTCCGGCGCGCCGATGGGGTGCAATCGACGGTACAAGATCTACGATGGCGGGTCACGCTCAAAGAAAATTGCCCACCTTGTGCGCAAACGCAGCCAGAACGCAAGTCGGCATTGCCGACCGCTAGGCAGAAATAACAAGGCGAAAGGGGGCCTTGACCATGAGGCACGGCAACCTGATGCGATGGCCGCGATACCTTACTATGGCTTTTGTTGCTCAGTCGGCCCTCGCCGCGTGGGCCGCTGTGGCTTTCACTGCTTGAACCGCTGTGGCCTGTCTTGCCATGCATGCCGCTGCTGCGTAGAATGCTATAGCTTCAGCTGCTCGGACCCCTACAGTCCAAACCGGTAGTAAGGATGCGCGAGAAGGATGAGGGGGCCTTGGACGGTTTCGCGGTTTCGACTGTACGGCCTGCGAGGGAGCTCAACCTGCCATTCGGAGCCCCCCCCATCCCAAGAGGGCCCCCGAGAAAGCCGGCAGGCCCCCCAGACGCTCCCAAGTGGAAGCAAAACGCCCCCAGAAGTCTCCCAAGACGCCCCAGAGGCCCCCCGAGGCTCCCAAGAAGCTCCCCAAGAGGCCCCTGGATGCACTCAATGGGCCTCGTGTCCACGACCCAGGCACCATGGCAAGATGGGCCGAATGCCTCTAGGTCCGTCGCCCCTGTAGCCTGCCACAGGGTTGATTGGCGTGCCGAGTTCTACAACACCTTTTTGGCCCTTCCCAAAAAGCTCCCAGTGGCCTTCGGCCCGAGCTGCCACGCGGAAGCCCCCGAAAGAACTGAAAGCTCGCCTGCAGGATAGCCAAGATGGCCTCCGAGACGGTACCAAGACGCATCCAAGAAGTCCAACAGGGCCCCAAGATGCCCAAGACGGCCCCGAGACGACATTAGTAGAAGAAGGATGACAAGAAACATAAAAAAGTGCATAACCACAAACTTGTGGCGCTCCGAGCGGATTTCTTGGATCCGCGCTGGACCCCCCTCCCTGGCGCGCCGCCAAGGGTCCCAGCGCGGATCCAAGAAACCCGCGCGGAGAGCCAAAGTTAATGTTTATGGCGTTGTTTCTTCTTCGACCTAAGGACGCCGAAGAGAGCCCAGATTCACCCCAAGAGAGCCTCAAGAGGGCCCAGAGAAGCCTGCAAGACGGCCTTTGAAAGCGCCACACGGCCCAGGAGTTCCCTCAGGTGGCCCAACCCCAAGAAGGCCCAACATGCCAGAGCAACAAAAAAAGTCGACCAATGACGAATTCAAAGGACCCCTCCGCCGTATTCACCCAGTGGCTCCCCGACAGATGGGGTAACACGCAGTCCACTACGAGTGCCACGATGACGCCTGACATTCCACCACACAGGCGTTACAATCGGACCTCGGACAGAAGAGCATGCTTCAAGAAAATGATGAGACCCTCTGCCGGCCAAAACGCAAAAAACATCCGAGGGGACAATCCCCAGGACGCGCAAGAACATCCAACAGTCACGAAGAGCAGTAGGGGACCCTCCCCGAACTGACCTCGATCTTAGACCTCGGTCCGATTGTACCAGAAGGCAGGGGGCGGCGGTGATTCGCTGGCTGCGTCTTCGAGACACTGAGAGGAGAAGGAGGAGGAGGAGGAGGAGGAGAGGAGGAGGAGGAGGAGGAGGAGGGGGAGAGAGGGGGAGGAGGGGGGAGAGGAGGGGGGAGAGGAGGGGGGAGAGGAGGGAGGGAGATGAGGGACAAGGGGAGGGACGCAGGAGGAGGAGGAGGAGGAGGAGACCAAAACCTGGTAATGATCAACACTCGCTCGGGGCCCACGCGCGGGCCATCCTTTCCCGGGAGCCGCCGCCCCCCCTGCGCCTCGAGCGGCCCCAGGCAAGAGCGATCCCTGGCATCCGCGGGCTTCGGGGGGCCGCGGAGGCGGCGAGCGCGCGGGCCAGGGCCGGGGGGATCCCCTGCGGGACCGCACCGCGGGCCACCCCGGCGAAGTCTCACACGACCGCAGGGCTCCATCCCTCCTGCCTGGCTTCCGGGTCGTACAGCCGACCCGCACCATACAAGGATGCGCGATAAGGATGCGAGGGCCTCGGAAGGCCTTTTCGGGGCTTTTCGAGCGGGGCGCGGCCAGCGAAAGTGGCCAAGGATGATGCGAGGAGGCAAAGCTGCGAGGGTACCCTTGGGAAGGTCGCCCATCAGTACAATGCGGGTCGACTGTAACTTTCGGGTCTCTGGGGGCCGCCCAGGAGGATTCGGGCATCCCGGGAAGGGCCCTCGGCGAGGCGCAGATCGTTAAGGGGCCTGGCAGCCTCCAAGAACCGACGAGCACGCGGGAAAACCGTCGAGGTGCAGGGCGCGGACGGTCCTCGACGTCCGCCGGTGTGATTTTGGCTCACTCCGCTTCCCCGGGGGGGCAGCTTGTCGTCCTGGATCCGTTCTTGCCTGTCCCGGGGCCCGACAACGGCCTCCGAGGGCCGAAATCGAGGAGAGCACTCCGGTTTTTTATCATTTTATTTTTCTTATTTTTTTGATCAATAATACAAAGAGAGAGAGAGAGAGAGAGAGAGAGAGAGAGAGAGAGAGAGAGAGAGAGAGAGAGGGACAACCCCCCCCCCCCCAAAAAAAATAAACGTGGCGTCGGAGATCCGGGGTGGCAGAACTCGCCGCAGGCACTTGCATATCGCGGCCCCCAGGCCAGAACGGACGGGCCCCACCAGCTCCTGAGGGAACAAGCGGGGGGGGGGGGGACCGGCTCGGGGAGGGCAGCATCGACCTGGAATCGGCGATACCTCGCCGATAGATCGGCGAGGGGCCCCCGGAGCGAATCCGCAGGTTTCTGGGCGGGGTGGGCCACGCGTCGGGCCCCTGTCGGCGACCAGCGGGCGATGGGGGGGCCGCCGCGTCGCCCCCCGAGCGTGGTCCCCTGCCACAGTTGCCGGGCCACAGCTCTGGCCTCCGGCGGCGGGTCCCAGGGCGCCCCTCGGCAAGGCGCGGCCGCTGGGAGAGAGCACGCAGGGGCTGGAGAGCCGCGGGGAGCCGAGGAGAGCGCCCGAAAACCTCGGGCCCTCGAGGCGTCGAAGCCTCGAGCTCTCGAAGCCTCGAAGCCCCGAAGCCTCGAGCCCTCGCAAGCCTCGAACCCTCGAACCCCTCCCCGGACGTCGCCGTTGGGCTCCTCGTCGCCCGGCCACAGCTCGACGGGGCCGGGGCTGAGCCTGGCGACGTCCAGGGCCCTCGTCTTCGAGGACTGCTGGTAGACCGCGGCGGAGCACAGCGGGAGCAGGGACGCCGCCTGGCGGTGCTTCGCCTTGCCCGCGCGGGCTCCTGGAGCGAGGGGTGCACTCGTTTCGGCCTCGGCGCCGCCGCCTCTGAGTCAAAGCCTGCAGCGAGGGGGCTGCATGCAGGGAGCCGACAGGACTGCTGCACTCACACGTGGAGCACAGAAGTCCGAACCCCCTTCTGCGGAGAGAAGTTGCAGTTCGGATTTCCTCCCCCCCTGCTTTGAGTCAGCGCCTCACCTGCCGCAGCTGGTCCTCAGGAGGGAGCAGGGGGCGTACGAGGGACAACGTTGCAGAGGATAGGCCCGGTGGAGCACGGAGCAGCGAGCTGGAATCGGCGACACATCGCCGATAGAAGGGCCCCATGGCCCGCCCCGCCCAGGAAGCCGCGGATTGGCTGTGGGGGGGCCTGTCGCCGATGCATCCGCGATGCAGTGCCGATTCCAAGTCGATGCCCCCCCCTGAGCCAGTCCCCCCTGCCCGCGCCCCTGAAGGTAGCAGCACGCGGGCATGTCCCAGACCGCGAGAGCCGCCGTCGCAAAAAAAGGAAGCATCGTTGGAAATCGCGGCTGCAGCACCAGATAGGGGGTTTCGAGTGAAAAAGGAAAAGGAATCCAATAATACTCTGTGTATGATTCAAACAGCACGTACAATGGTCACCAGACGATGCTTTGACTGTGCTTGGATATTCTTTATGGAAGGGGACATGCCCGACTGGACCGCCTCTCTCCGCGACATGTCTCGAGCCGGATCGACCCGCGAGGGCCCCGGGGCGCGAATTGAAGCGAAAGCGCCGACTGCGACAAAATGTGCGACGCCCGGATCTTACGATGCACAAATCCGGACGCACACGGACGCACCAGTACTACATTACATCCGCCTTGGAGGCGCGCTTCCGACCCGAACATATAATATAACCATTGTGTAGCATGTCTCTATATAGTTTTCCGAGCGGCACGGCCACAAAATGCCCGCCTCGACGCCTACAGTATAAGATGTATAGGAGCGCGCGTCGCCCATGGCGGAAGACGCACACATAGTACTAGTATGTTGGGCCGACGCCGAATCCAATTGGCTCGACAGGTGGAGAAGCGTTCGCCAGCCCCCGCTGTGCTCCCGTGCGCGGGATGGCGCGGCACACGGAAGGCCCAGGACCTCGGACCTCCGAGAGTTCGCGTTTCTCTTCGGCGCGGAGCCGACGGGGTCGGCCTTTCACACCGGGTCGTTCCTTCGAACAGCCCAGGGGACCGAAAAACAAGCATCGAAGGGCAACGCCCAAAGAAAATCACATCGAATGAAAAATCACGACGTCGCAGGTTTGGTTCCACCTCCTCCTCCTCTTTCCACATTCCTCCTGGCAGCATAGAGAGAGACGTGCGCACCACGTACTCCAGCGACTCTGGCCACCACGGCTAGGGTGACGATGGCTTAGAACAGATTCAACACAGCCCACGGGCGGCCGGCCCGGCCCCGCCTGCTGACCGCGCCGCGGCCGCTGAACCAGCAAGTTCGGCGGCCAGCTGGGCCGCGGCCGCCGCCGCGCTGTCGCCGCCCACGGATGAGCTGAGTTGCCGCGCGACAACGCGATGTAGCGCCACGCAAAAAAACAAAAAAAAAAAAAAAAAAACTGGCCGCGGCCTCCGCTGCTGGGCCGTCGCCGAGGCTCTGCCCCTGGCCGTGCGCCAGCCAACGGAGGTGTGGCCTGACCGCCTGGCAACGGCGGCCCGCGGTCTCGCGCGCCAGCGGCAGCACCGACCAGGGCGAGCAATGCCTTTGGTAGCGGCACCGTTTGTCGGCGTCCGAGTCGGCGTTGACCGCGCCGACGTGCCGCCCCCCTCTGCGGTTGCGTCTCCATGGGAGCTGTCGCAAAACGTGACGTTGCCGAAGATGCGAGGGCAGTCCCCGCGCTGTGCCTCCAGGTCCAGGAGCGTTTCCTCCTGCTCCGCCACAAGAGCCGCCCCACAGGTCGAACATGGCCCAGGCGACGAGGCCTTGCCGACACCGCACGCTCCATAGGCCGCAGAGGAACAGCGCCAGCGCCACGTTTCCCAGGCCGGCATTGGCAGCTGCCGCGCTGTTTGGAAGCCATACTCTTGGCGAATGCGTTCCCAATAGTCCTCCACGTCGCGGCTCCGCGCCTTGGTGCCGCTCCCGCCAGCGCACCAGTAGGCTTGGCGCACATTACGGCAGAGCGGTTCCCCGCAAACCTGCCCAGCCTTTTGTCTGGCCCGCAGCCGGTTGCCTCAGTGGCTCCCGGCGGGCACGGTGTCCTGGCCCCAGCACGGCGCGCAGTGGCGCAGTAGTCGGCATCCTCTAGCTATTGACGGGGTCCGCCGTTGGCAAGCTGCCAGCCCGCCCCGCGAGAGGCCCTCCGCATGTGAGCGCAGCAGTGCCCGCTCCTCAGCTCCCAGGGTGCTCCGCACGCAGTTTGCGTCAAGCCGTTGCGCGAGCACTCTCTGAATTTTCAGGCGGGGTTCGTCCACCAGCTGTCTCCAGGGTGGCAAGTAGCTGGGCCCTCTCATCCGTTTCCTCCTCCTCCTCCTCCTCCTCCTCCTCCTCTCCTCCTCCTCCTCCTCCTCCTCCTCCTCCTCCTCCTTGGTGACTCGGTCGTGACGCGGATTGCCTTGTCGAACAAGCGACTGAAGCTCTCGTACGCGCCCCACCCCCTCGTTTTCTCCCCTGGCGCACCTGGCTTGGATGGAGGGCGGGGCGGGGGGCGCGCAGAAACCTGGGCAGCATAACGGCTAGAAGGGGGGCGGGGCGTCCCCTGTGGGGAGGGAGGCCGACGGAGGGGCGACACGAAGAGGAGCAGCAGGAAGGCAAGAGAGGAAGGGAGAGAGAGAGAGAGGAGGAGGAGGAGGAGGAGGAGGAGGAGGAGGAGGAGGAGGAGGAAGAGGAGGAGGAGCAGGAGGTGGAGGTGGAGGTGGACGAGTAAATGGAGGAGTCCCAATAATTCTGGGACGAGCCGAAAAGACGCTCGACTCGCCGCGGGTGCATGGGTTTGGTGCCTCGGGTCAACACAGATGCGGCGATGAGAGAGGCAACTAACGCCATTGCAGGGACCGTGCTGCACTGCACGCCCACGCAATAGTGTCAGCGGTCGGGGCAGCTGCATGGTTCATTTTGCTATAGGTACGAGATGCTCACGTGGCGCGCTGCACCGTCCGAAGCAGTGAAAGGTCGGACTCGGCAGCGGGCGGGTGCGCAGCGGCGGGGCCCCCTCTCCAGGATGCACTGATGGTTTGAATTGGAGGAGGACTAGGGGACCAGAGGTAGTGGGGGAATGAGTATGGCTGCTGGTTGTATCCGAAGACGCATGAGCGGGACGCGAGGACGTGCATGCGACCTGTGGTCGTCCAGCCTCCGCCCAGTGTTTTGGAAGCGGCCCACCGCCAGCTCGGGCGGGCTCGTTTGAGCTCCGCGAAAAGGGCGTCTTAGCGGGCGGATAGCTCTTCATGTGGGAGCGGCGGAGAGATGCTGCGGTGATTCGATGCGCTAGCGGAGTGTACTGAGAAACGTTGTGCTGACCGCAGCACGGCGAAACACCGCAGCTGCGACCCGCTGAGCTTTGGGACGGCGTGGCGGGTCATCCAATGGAGCCGTGCGGATTTCATCTTGCACAGCCGGGCTCATGGCGGCCAGGTCTGTGTTCGAGAAAGGGAGCTGGGAGCGGCTCACCAGCAGGCCGCTATGGTTTTGGACGATTGCACGTGGCTCCATCCAGAAACTAGGAGACCATTGGCCAACAAGCCAGGAACTGTCCTCTTTTCCCAATCCTTTTCGCGGAGCCTGCTCAGGAAGGGCTCCCGGTCTTCCTTGAGGGCGACGTAGGCTGAGCGAATTGCAGAGGCGGTGGCATTGACTTGCATTGTCCACGGCACTGGTGGCGGACTCCAACCCGACATCGCAATCAATTCTACCGTACGGAACGTATTCGGAAGCAGGCTCAGCGATATGTGAAAGACGTACAGCTCGCGGTGCAGAATATCCTTCAGCGGTGGGAAAACTGCGACACATAGCTGAGTGTAGAGAGTGTAAACGTGTTGCACAGGCGCACCGTAGCGTCGCTGCCGCCCTGCACCAGATTCAAGAGGTTGCCACGCTGCCTCCATTTCTGCCCAGGGGCGAACCACCGGCGTGAGTTCAAGGCCGAGGGTCCCAGGAAGGTCCCAAGGTATTTGGCTCGCCCCACTACAGAAGAGAAACAACACATGACGGCGAGAGTGAGTTCAGCCAGGAAGCTGAGCAGGAGGAGGAGGAGTAGGAGGAGGAGGAGGAGGAGAGGAAGGAATAGGAGGAGGAAGAGGAGGAGAAGTAAGAGGAGAATGAGAAGGAGGAGGAGAATGAGAAGGAGGAGGAGGAGAAGCACGCGAAGGAGGACCGAGAGAAGGGAGGAGGAGCCAGGGGGAGCAGCAGGCGCGACGGAGGAAGGTGGAGAATGGAGGGGAAAGGGTCGCCAACTCAGCCGACACCCCCGTAGGGACCCCCACATAAATAGAGGGGTCAGTGAGGGAGCTTCGGCTGCGTCGGCGACCCTGCGGTTGCTGTCGTTCGTGTTCGTGCTGCCTCGACTGCAGTCTCCATCCTGAATCTCCTCCGTACCCCCTGACTTCCCTCCCCCCCCCCGCCCCATACCACAGGGCGGTAGCAGGCAAATGCAAATCGAAGATATGAAAGCACTGGTGTGGGAGCGACGGTACCCGGCCAACAGCTCGCCGCGCGGCGGCGGGCCCCTGCACAGAGGGTCGCCCGCCTGTCTCGGGAGTAGCGCTGCGCGGCGCCATCCGAACCCAGGTCCAGCCCGCGCGTTCAGGGCAGCTCAGGGGCTCGAGACGCGGTTGTCTTCGCGCCCGCGCCCAGGTCAACTCGCGGACAGGGGGCCCGGGTGCGAAGCGCGGCTACTCGACGCCGCCAGCGGCGGATGGCGCGAATATATTGCGCGCAACGGAGATGGGGAAGGCCGGGGGGATGATGTGAGGTGCAAAGGGCGGGGGGTGGGGGGGAGCGCGCCGTGGCGGCGGAGGCAACGCTCAGCGACGGAGAAGACTCATTGCGTGGATGGCGTCGCGAAGACTGTCTGGGATCGTCGGCTCCCCCTGAGCGGCGCAGCGCCTCCTGGTGACGAAGATGGCGAGCTCGTCTCCAGAGGAGCCCCGAGCGTCGCCAGAGCCAAGGATGGCGAGGGCGCCGGCGCTCTTGTCTCGACGCACGCCGCTTGGATCCTCATCGCTGGCGTCCTGGGCGGGCGGCGCCGCTGGCGCCAGCGCTGCCCCCTTTGCCGCCGTCCTGCGCAAGCGCCGGCTGTTGGCCCTGCCTCCGTCAGCCGCAGCGCCTCCGCGACGTGGCCGCCGTGGCCCTGCCGCTGCCCATCCAGCTCCACACCGAGCGCGGTGGGGTTATGCCTGCCGCCCCCGCCAGCGCCATGCTCGCTCTCCTGGCCGTCGTGCTCTGCGCGGTGCGCCTCGGCCGTCCCTGCGGCCTGGTCGTCGTAGTTCTGCGGCCTGCACAGCTCGGCGAGGAGCCCAGCAGGGTTGTACCCGCTGCCCCCGCCAGCGCCGCGCTCGCTCTCCTGCTCGTCTTGCTGCGCGTGGTGCGTCTCGGCCGTCTCCGCGGCATGGTCGTCGAAGCGCTCCTCCGCCACGTGCTTTGTGTCGCGGCCGTCCTAGCTCTGCAGCTTGCCCGGCGTCGCCGCGTGCAGTCCGGCGGGGTTGTACCTGCTGCCCCCGCCAGCGCCGCGCTTGCCGCCCTGGCCGTCGCGAGCCGCGTGGTGCGTCTCGGCCGTCTCCGCGGCCTGGACGTCGAAGCGCCCCCCTCCCCTGTGCTCCGCGTCGCGGCCGTCGGAGCGCTGCAGCTTCAGCTTGCCCGGCGTCTCCGCGTGCAGTCCGGCGGGGCTGCACCCGCTGCCCAAGCCAGCGCCGTGCTCGCCGCCCTGGCCGTCGAACTCCCCGTGGCACATCTCGGCCAGCTCCGCGCGCTCTGCCGCATGGCCGCCGTGGCTCTGCTGCTCGCCGAGCTTCGCGTGGGGTCTGGTGGGGTTGAACATGCTGCCCCCGCCAGTGCCGCGTTCGCTGTCCTGGCCGTCGTGCTCCACGTGGTTCGCCTCGGCCGTCCCTATAGCCTGGTCGTCGGAGCAGCTCTGCAGCTTGCCCAGCTTCGCGTGGAGTCTGGCGTCCCGCGGGGTCGTCGCCGAGGTGTGGATGTGGCTGTCTAGCGTGAAGAAGTCGGTGATCAGACCAGGCACGAAGGGCTGGGCCTCTGGGTTGAGCTGAGATCCCGTTCCGCTAATCTCCGCCGTAACACTCTCGAGGAACTGGC